CCTAGCACTTCCTAGCTGAGGGATCTAGAATAAATGATGACAGTCTTCTCCGCTTGTTTCCTCACCTGGGAAATGGGAGGCACAAGAGAAGCTTCATATGGTTGATGTGAGGATGAAATGAGATAATATGAGGCTAAGTTTAGAATGCTGTCTGGCACATAAAAGCACTCAACTAAGGAGAGCTATTATTATCAAACTCAAGACCAAGAAAAATGTACTTAGCAATGATAAAAATCAATTAAGTACATATTGAATGCCAACATACCTACTGTTGTGCCAGGCACTGTCTAAAGAGAAATGTATAATGCATAGTCCTTCATCCCATAAAACCAGTTTTCTTCTAATGACAAGGTCAAAAAGCTTGGCTTAATTAAAGAACATAGAATATAAGTAAATATTACACTGTGAGGAAAATTTGCTTGTTACATTTAAGGAAAAGGAACCAAATGACAGCTGCCATATTTTATGTATTCACTTGGTAGGTAGCCGGCACTTTTCTCTTTTTGAGACATAGCTAAGCTGGTCTCAAACTTGCTATGTAGCTGATGTTGGTCTTGAACTCCTGCCTCTGCCTCACAAGGGTGAGGAGTACAGGAACCCACTTTGTAGCAGGCACTGTTTTAGCCCTTCACATAAGTTATCTCAGTCCACAAAACCCTAGAAGTAATTACAACTATAGATGAGGAAACTGAGCAGGAGAGAAAAAGCGACACCCACCAAGACACTTACAAAACCAGTAAGAGCCAAGGAAAAATCCAAACTTAGTTAACAAACATTTAAAAGCTCAAAGATTTCTCTTCAGCAAACGATGCAGAGCCTGGCATGGTGGCACACGCCTACCTCTCTGAAGGCCAAGGGAGGTGGATCTCTGAGTTCCAGACCAGCCTGGTCTCACAGCCAGCTCTGAGCTACATAATGAGATCCTGTCTCAAAAAAAAAGAAAAGCACCACGTGGTGGCGCACACCTTTAACCCCAGCACTCAGGAGGCAGAAGCAGGTGGATCTCTGAGTTCAAGGCCAGCCTTGTCTACATAGCAAGTTCCGGGATAGCCAGGGCTACACAGAGAAACCCTGTCTTGAAAAACCGAAGGAGAAAAAAAGTTAGCTCTCAAAGAACAGCATTAATTTTCTTATGTAGCTGATTTATTTTATTATTTCCTAGACTCACTTTGTAGACCAGGCTGGCCTGGAACTCACAGAGATCCACCTGCCTCTGCCTCCCTGAGCACTAAAATTACAGGCATGCGCCACTGTGCCCAGCTACAAGAGTTAACTTTAAAGCTATTAGGTTTTCTTCCTTCATTTGCATCAGAAACATGTTTAGACCCTTTAGTTTAGTTTAGGTTTACTTTAGTTTAGTTTAGTAAACATGTTTAGACCCAGGAAGCAGAATCAAGAATTCTTCCTTTGCATCCCACTTGTAGAACTGTCTGGACCAGGCAGCCAACCTGAGGTCCACCTTTGACCCACAAAGGTGGCCCTGTATCAGGCTGATGTGCTTCACAACCCCAAAACCATATCTGTGGTTAAAGTGTTTAGAAAAAAGAGCAATGTTCATGGGTGAGTGGATATATGTTTCTGGCATCTAGTCTCAGAGAGCACTAGGATGTGTTGGCCATGACTTGTAGAGGCCTGGTCACAGGCACTGGTGTGACATCTTGGTAGACACAATGCCATCTACCAATTTCAAATTCCCAACTCCTCACCAGCAATCCCAAGAGAAGACTTTTAAGTTATACTGCCTAGGATGGTCTGATATGGTAGATACCATACTGTTCAAGAAGAGGCAGGATGAGTTCAGAATGACAGAGAGGCCTGGCTCACTCAGATAACTGAGTACAATTAGTAAGTCTCAAGCTCCCATGTGGCCTGACCCATGGACCCATGACTACCTCTCTTCTTTCCCTACTTTGCTCCCTACCTTTAATCCAGCCACACCTGCCTCCCTGATATTCTTTGTCATATGAAAGTCCTTGCATTTGTCCTCAGCACACACTGCCTTTCTCCACCACTCACAAAGCTCCCTCCATTCTGTTATCTGCTCACTCGGAGATCACCCTAGCCAGTCGGTGGTGGCACACACCTTTAATCACAGCAGTCAGGAGGGAGAGGCAGGTGGATTTCTGTGAGTCTGAGGCCAGCCTAATCTACAGAGCTAGTCCCAGAGGGCCAAGGCTATGTAAAGAAACCCTGTATTGGGCGCGGGGGGGGGGGGGGGAATAATGAATAATCTCCTCTGAGAGACAGGTCTTCCTCACCAAGGGGTGATAATTCATTCCTTTTCCATTCTCTCTTGCGTTTACCCTGTACGTGTGCACACATACAAATGCATGCAAACATACACACATACACACAGTACCAGCCAGCAATTTGTTCACTGTTCTAGCCCCAGTGAACAGCAATACTCAAAGAATGCTGCTGAATGAATGAATGAATGAATGAATGAATGAATGAATGAACGAACCCATCATAGGCTTGAGAATGAGGTAAACAGCAGAAAAATAAAGATGAGTAAGCCATGTCTACTACTTCAAAGGAGCTAACAATCTAGCAGGGAACATACGCGTGAAACCACAGCTTCCGGTAAACACATACAGAGACACACACATTCAGCTAGGCGAGTCTTTAACCTTTCTCAGTCTGTTTCCTAGCCCACACACTGGGGATATTTGTAATTATTCCACAGACTTGTTATGAATTAAAATATCACACGCAAAGTACTTTTCATCCTGCCCAGCACACTATGCACCCATCGAAACTGTCTTGCCTCAGCCTTCTGAGCGCTGCAATTATAGGCCTGACTCATCACACCTAGCTTTTGGCCTTAAACTCATTCTCTGTGTCTCCTTCCCTGTCTCCTTTTTTCCTTTTGAGAAGGGTCTCATTATGTGGCCCAGGCTTGCCTTAAACTCACTATACAGTCCATGTTTGACTCTAAATCATGATAATCCTCCTGCCTCAGGCTCTCAAATGCAATAATTATAAGCCTGTACCATTATGCCCAGCTCCAGCCTCAACTCTAATTTTAATTTCAGTAAACACAGATTTGCTGTTAAAATAACCTATTATCAGTTCCTATGCTTACTACACAACTTAATACTCAAATATAAAAGATTCCACATATTGGCATTCAAATTGGGTTTAATCTCAATGGAAACACTTCAGCCTTGCAATAAAATTTTCTTCCCCACCCTCCCCCAAGACAAGGTTTCTCTGTGTAGTTCTGGCTACTCTCTCAACTCAGAGATCTACCTGCCTCTGCCTCCTGAGTGCTGGGATTAAAGGTGTGGGCCACCAACACATGGGACATGAGACAAAATTTTTTTGTTTTTGTTTTTGAGACAAGGTTTCTCTGTATAGCCTTGGCTTTCCTGGCCTCACTTTGTAGGCCAGGCTGGCCTAGAACTCACGATGATCCACCTGCCTCTGCTGACAAATCTTATTTGTTTGTTTTGTGTATGATATGTAAAACATACATATAAACTAATGTAAACACACACATTGTACATGCCAGGGAATGAGTGTAAATGAGTGTGGAGGTTGGAGTACAGCTTTGTGGAGTTAATTTGCTCCTTCCACCTTCACCTGGGTTCTGGGTCTCAAACCAGGGCTGTCAGGCCTGCATAGCAAGCGCTTTACCTGAGCCATCTTGCCAGCCCCTTGAAGAAGAATTTTCTGATTTAACCTGTATTTCCGCTCCTTAACAAGAGGAAAGTGGACACAAAGTACCATACTTTGTGATCATCAATTACATTATAGTGTTTTGAATATCTGGGCTAAACGAACTGGATACTCTTCCTACCTCCAAACACCCAGTCCTAACCCTTCCCACCAGAAACCTTCTATCTCTCAAATCCCACAATATACATTTATATTTAAAAGCAAAGTGGCAAGCTAGGGGGAGGGGCGGTGCACAGCTTTAATCCCAGGACTTGGGAGGCAGAGGCAGGTAGATCTCTGAGTTTGAGACCAGCCTGGTCTACAGAATAAGTTGCAGGACAGCCGGAGCTACAGACAAAATGGTCTCAAAAATAAAATAAGAGCGATAGCTTACGCTTTAAAGTTTAGAACATAATTGTAATTTAGAACTGACTCTACCTTTTAACCACGTGTAGCTATGCAAACAAAAACACAATAATAAACAACATGGATGGCTGTCACCATTTTTAAAGTAAAGCTGCCTCTGTTCTGTTTACAAGGCTCTGGGCTGAATCTGAAGCCGAAGAATCAGCCTGTATTTGACTGTCAGCTACAACCTTGGACTACAACCTTGGGGAGGAGGGAGTTTTAAGGCAAGAGGTTACAGGCTGACTTGTACCACCTCTACCATCTCTTACTTGGTAGGTACTTGTGTCCAAAGGTAGCTCAACAGAGGCAGAAAATGAAATCTTCATGCTCGAAATTTTAAAAACTTCTTTGCTACAAAAGACAACCTACATTAAAATGTTCCCCGTGCGTTCTCTGTAATAAAACAGGGGCCCTCCCACCCCTCAAATACCAGTCATTGCCTGACTTCCAAATTAATTACAGGAAACAGTGTATGAAGTCACCCAAACACACGCACACACCACTTCCCTTAATTGAAAGTTGCTGATGTCCGAGGACCCAACCGCTGAGCAGAATGTGAACCCAAAGTCGCAAGCAGTAAGCTACCCCTGATGTGAACGGAGCAAAACGAGCTGGGTGGGGAGGCGGCGATGACAGGAAAAACTCGGCTGACCACTGCGCCAAGTCAAGGCTGCTCACAGTCCTGGGGATGACACACGCTCCCTCCCGCCCTCGGGCCGTCGGCTCTGTTGACCCCAACGCCGCGAACTCACAACAAAATTGGGGTGTGGACCTAAAGGGCCCAAGCCTGGCGGACCCGGGGAAGACAGCTCCCCGCGCCCGGAGTGGCGGCTCGCGGCGGCCTCAGCTGTGGCCCTGGCTGCGACAGGGACCGGTCACCCAGGCCTGTCCCTCGGGTCGCCCCCCGTGCCCAGCTGGGTCCCCTCGCTCACTGGCTTGGCTGATCCGCTGGATGTTGCCGCTGCACGTCTGGATGATGCTGTTGAAGTCCCGGGGCTGGGGCCCCGAGGGCCCGGGGTTCCGATACATGTCCAAAGGACCGTAGGACATGACAGCGAGCAGACACCGGGTCGCGCTTCGCGGCGCTCCTACCGGAAGCTGCCACTGGCCGGGCCCCCGCAGCTGAGAGGAAAACCGGGAAGAGAAAGGGCGGGGAAGGGGCCGCGACTGCGTGCGCACCGACCACGCCCACGGCCCGCGCGCACGCGCATCCTGCCAGCCCGCAGCGCGCGTGCGCCGCTGGGAGCGGCGGCTGATAGCCGCGAGAGAGTTTTTCGAACTTCTGGCGCACGGAGTCCGCGCGGGACCAGATTCCTCCAGCCGAGCAGCCTGCGCTCGGCAACCTGCCTGCCGCCGACATGCTGGTCCGCCTCCTGCTGCTCGGCGCGTTGTGGCTTCCCAACCACCCTGCAAATTCTTGCTTTTTCAACCCATGCCAAAACAGAGGTGAATGCATAAGCGTGGGGTTGGACCTGGACGAGCAGGTGCAGTTGTACCCGGACAGGGTTCTATGGTGAAAACTGTTCAACATCTAAGTTTCTTTTTTTCTTTTTCGAGACAGGGTTTTTCTGTGTAGCCTTGGCTGTCCTGGACTCGTAGGCCAGGCTGGCCTCGAACTCACTGACATCCGCCTACCTCTGCCTCCTCGAGACCTGGGGTTACAGGCATGCGCAGCCACAGCCGGCTAACACCTACATTTCTGACAAGACTAAAGTTACTCCTAAAACCCACCGCCAACACGATGTACTCCATGCTTACTCAATTCAAGGGACTCTAGAACATTACCAACAACATTCGCTTCTTTCGAGGCTGACCTGCTCTTCAGGGTGAATTCCAGGACAGCCAACGCTACACAGAGAAACCCCGTCTCAGAAAAAAACAAACAACAAAAACATTGCCTTCTTGCGGAATTCAGTCATGAGATATGTGTTACCAGCCAGGTTGTATTTGATTGACAGCTCACCAACTTACAGTGTGCATTATACCTAAAACCTGGGAGGCCTTCCCCGACCTCTCTCCTATTACATCAGAGCCCTTCCTCCTGGAGCAAATGATTGCCTGACTCCAATGGTGTGAAAGGGAAGAAAGGTTATGAAAAAAGTTGTCAGAAAAAAAGTTCATCCTTGGTCCCCAGGGTATGAATATGGTGTTTTACATTCTTTGCCTAGCACTTCACCTACCAGTATTTGAAGACAGACCAGAAACAGGGACCTACGTTCACCAGAGGAGTAGGCCACGGAACATGGCACAAGCCATGTTTATGGCAAAACTCTAGAAAGACAACATAAACTCCTCTTTTTTCTTCTTTTTAAATATACAATTTCTATTTATTTTTATATTCATTGGTGCTTTGCCTGCATGTATGTCTGTGTCAGAAGCCCTGGAACTGGAATTACAGACAGTCGTGAGCTGCCATGTGGATGCTGGGAATTGAACCTGGGTTCTCTGGAAGAGCAGCCAGTGCTCTATAACCGCTGAACCATCTTTCCAGCCCCAAACTGCCTTTTCAAGGATGGAAAATTGAACTCTCCGGTAATTGGCGAATAGCCATCTCCTCCCCTCAGAGGGGTCAGAGACACTCCAGTGGGAAGCACTACTCACTTCACACCCCTAAAGACCTGCCATTGGCTGTGGGGTGGGAGAGCTTTGGTTTGGCAGCTGGTCTGATGGTGCAAGCCATGACATGGCTGTGGGAACACAGCCTCTGAAGGACTGTCGCACTCGCAGCTCACAGAAGCCCGACCAATCAATTGAAGAATTGAGTTGGAGGCTCTCTGCGGAGACGCTGATGATGAAGCTGTATCCTGCCCTGCTGACAGAAGAGCCTCTGTCACACACTGTCTTTGGGAAGACGTAGTAGAATTTAGGGCACCGTTCTTCTCATCTTCTCTGTTGTCACTACTAGAGGCCAAGGGGTCTTGGAGATGTAGGTTTTAAGATCATCAACGCTTGCCTCAATTCAGTGTCTCATCTACAGTAAGGTGAAGGGCCGTTCCTTCCCGTTGTTCAGTGTCCCAGGAGTCCCCAAACAGTCACCATTAGTGGGACAACTCAGCAACCTCGAGATTCAGATCTGTAGCCAATCTGTGACTCTCACGGGTTTCAAGCGGCTTTTATTTCTCCCTCCACTCCTAATCTAAGCAGTGAAGTAATAATCATATTTATTGGGCACATGCTGTGTGTGAATCCGCACTTTAGGTCACTGGTTCATAAACACTTCCCAGCAAGGAAACATCCCAATTTTATCTTTAAAGGTTTCCAGGGGGCAAGGGTTGTTTTGTTTTGTCTTGTTTGTTTTTGACACAGGGTTTCTCTGTGTAGCCTTGGCTATCCTGGAGCTCACTTTGTAGACCAGGCTGGCCTGGAATGAGATCTGCCTGCCTCTGCCTCTAGAGTGCTGGGGTTAATGGCATGTGCCACCAGGCCTTTAAAGTAGATTTTTTTTTTTTTAATGTAACATAAGTTAGGACAGAAAAGTAAACATTATTTTCCCTTTTACAGATGACAAAATGAAGACCAAAGAACAGTAATCACCTTGGTGTTTGGAAGACCCAAACACTAAGTGCACTATCTAATTCTATCCCCATCTCACTACTTCCCTAAAACCTGTTCCCAGAGCTGGAGAAATGGCTCAACAGGTAAAGGCACTTACTATCAAGCCTGAAGACCTGAGTTCAATCCCAAGGATCTACCTGGTGGAAAGAAAGAACCAGAAAAGTGTCCTCTGATCTCCTGTACCCCTTGTGGCAAGCAGACACACTTGATAAAATGTGATTAAGATATTGATACACGCTAGATAAAATGTAATTATGGTGGTTTTTGTTTTTAAAAACCTCATTCCCATTTTTACAAATTCATTATCTATGGAATTTCCTTCTTAATAGTCTGCTTATCTATATCAAACTTGTAGCCTTGGCTGGCCTGGAACTCCAAATATAGACCAGGCTGCCCTCAAACTCATAGAGATCTGCCTGCCACTGCCTCCTGGGTCCCAAACAAGAATTTCTTAGATAACTCCTGAAATTTTGAGCAGTTTGGGGTCTAACTGCAAAATGACTTCACATAACTTTGCATTTTGTGGTAAACGGGAACACACTGGCAGGATTTTGCACGGGAGGGCTGCTGAGGACCAGGCATGATGGGAACTGTAGTTGTCTGCATTCTCCGCTCCTCTAGCTCCATCCTTCTGTAGTCACTCTGAAGTGGGAAGAGAGGAAGCAGCTTGTGTGTGTCAGAGGAAACTCCAAACATGTGAATGAGCCTGTGTGCACCCTAGAGAGCTGCTTAAACCCTATTGCCCCTCTGTGGAGACCTGCTTTGGTTCTTAGCATAACTGTAGCTCCTCTGTTAACACCTACTGTAGCCTTTAGCATTTCAGAAGCCGTTTTGCCTCCCTGTCTCCATGTTGATCATAAAGTGAAATTAAGTTCAAGTTCTCAGGCCTCTACGTGCCTAAGACCAGGATTCAATTCAATAGTTCGGTTTGATACTTGCTGCTTAGAATAAAACAATAGATGATACATGTATGTTCTGTTAGATTTAAGACTACAACATCCTGCTGTGTTTTTTACTCCCAGAAGGCTGGAAAGCCCCCAAGAGCTCCCCTACCCTAAATCCCAGCCAATCAGCTTAAAGTGCTTTGTCTAGCTACCTAGATATAACACAATACACTTGGGGAAAAAAATCAATTATGTTTAGCTAATCAAAATGATGTAATGCTTCCCCCTTCCCCACCAGCTTCCCACACCTGATTCCCTGGGTTGTTACCTGGTTAGGTTTTTCATATAAAAAAAAAAACCTGCCTTAGACTGTTGTCATAATCTGGCTCCCAAATCCAGATTATATCCCTGACCCCGGGACATAATCTTTGTTCGGCGTTCAATAAACTTCCATCAATGTGAGTCTGGTGTTTGAGTGACCAGTCTGAGGCTATCCCTGAACCCGTAGCACCAAGTGCTGGGATTAAAAGCAAAGCTATCTCTATTTTTGGTTAGAATTCACTGATTGAAGTATTTTTTCCCTTGTATAGAAAGGGGCAGGCTCAGGCTGGGAATGTAAATACCGTGGTAGAGCACTTACTCAGCATGTACAAGACCTTGGATTTTCTGGGAGGCTGAGAGTTCTAGGCCAGCCTGGACTGCATAGCAAGACCCTGTCTCAAAAAAAAAAAAAAAAAATTTTTTTTTTTTTTAAAAAGAGGAGGAAGATAAAGAAAAGGAGGAGGAAAAAAAAAGAAAGACCCTGAGTTCAGCTTCTAGCAGCACAAAAACAAATCTGGTGTGGGGATTCATTCCACCACCTGGAAGGTAAAGGCTGGAGGATGGAGTTTCAAAGTCATTCTTAGCTACACAGCAAGTTAGAGGCCAGGATGGGCCACATGAGACCCTGTCTGAAAACAAACAAACTTATCATGCTAAACAAGGACTCTTCCATGCTTATATAACCCCAGCTCCTCCCCAACCCTGTGGAGACATGATCTCAATAAACTGCCCAAGATGGCTTTGAACTCACTCAGCTTAGGGGGGCCTTGAACTTTTCATCTTCCTGCCTCAGTTTTGTGAGTGATGGGATTACATGTGTCTCCACTATGCCTAACCTGTGTTCTGGTTATTAAAATTCTAATAAAATCCAGCGTGGTGACATGCATCTTTAACCCCAGCACCTGGGAGGTACAGGCAGGTGGATCTCTGTGAGTTCAAGGTAAACTGGGTCTCCATAGAAAGTTCTGGGCCGGGGAGATGGCTCAGAGGTTAAGAGCACTGACTATTCTTCTAGAGGTCCTGAGTTCAATTCCCAGCAACCACATGGTGGCTCACAACCATCTGCAATGGAATCTGATTTCCTCTTCTGGTGTGCATGAAAACTGTGTTCACACCCATAAAATTAATTAATTAATTAATTAATGAAAAATACATATAAAAAAAAAAAAAAAAGAAAGTTCTGGGCCAGCCAAGAATATGCAGTGAGACCCTGTATCAAAAAAGCAAAAACAAAGGGCCAAAAGCGGTGACCCACACCTTTGATCCCAGCACCGGGAGGCAGAGGTAGGCGGATCTCTGAGTTCTAGGCCAACCTGGGCTACAGAGTGAGTTCCAGGACAATCAAGGCTACACAGAGACACCCTGACTGAAGAACAAAAACAACAAAACAAAACAAGTAAGAGCTAAGGCAAT